GTTGGTTTCAGATACAGCAAGCCGAATGTGTGTAAGGAAAAGTTTTGAGCGAATTGGAAATGGTGGCAGCCAATGGAAAATGAAGCGAAGTACATGGAAATGACGGCACTACATGGATGTGGACGTGCACGTGCAATCGTGGTCATAAATAAGTCAATTTTAATTAAAGTTAGTGAATTCTTGTTTTTGCCATTTGTGTTTTACACATTTTGTGAGGTAAAAATTGTGGTTTTCCGGTTGCAGTTAAAATTTAATGTTTGTGCAAAAATATGTGAGAATATAGGAAAAATTGTAGAGTTCTAAAACTTTTAATGTCGAGAAAAAAAAAGAAAATAATGTGAAAAATAATTACTTGTTACTAAATTTGAAACTATAGAAACTAAATGAGTTTAAGTAAAAGTTTCTTTTATTATCAGTGTTAAATAAAGTTATAGAGTACTACTTAATTTTAACTGATGAGTACAAAAAGTACCACAATCAATTATTAGTATTATCGATAAACACTGTAATATTCGTAAAAGTAGAAAAATAGATATAATACTCTATAGTTATAAATTATTTCGTAGTCTTTTGCTTTTAACAGATTATGATCGTATATAATAGTTATATATTATATATATAGTTATTATTAATTCTTATTAACAATAATTTATATCTTGACCTACAATAAGTTCATATAGGTTCCAAGAACGGCAGGGTCTACATCCCGGAGCCACTGGTCGACCTTGACGACCAAGTGCCGTTCAACACCCCCCCAAATGCACTGAACAAGCAGATCCCAGCGAGTTACTGCAACCATTTATATTGCAGTAGGTAGAACTTAATTAATACTGAATACAAAAAATTAATTTTTCTACACTTGATCTGTTTTTTATTAACCGAAGTTTCGACAATATTCTTATTAAATTTGATAGCTATAAACTAATATTGTACTAATAGCTACAAACACGTTTGCTAACTTTTTGGATTTCTAAAAATATATGTTCATCCTTCTACTCACTATTATGGTTGAACACTTAAAACCTCTAATAAAATTAGTTAACTGGCAAAATCATATTAATTATAATCACTTCTTATACTTTGTAATATATTTTAAAATAGTAAGAAATTAACTCAATTATAGTAATTTACATCTATACAGAATCCGTTCACGTCTTATTTAACTCCCACTTTAACAAAAGCCATATAAGATATAAAAAGGATCTACAAATATACATATCTTCATAAGAGCATTTCGTTAGTATAGTACTTCATTATAAAGAAGTACTTGAAGTACAAGAGCACAAGAATCGCTTTTATAAGGATAAAAAATTGTTATTTCTTCGAGAGGTATCTCTATCATTGAGAATAAGTCAGAGACAGCAAAATATTAGAGATAGTGAAATGGCTAAAACTGGATTAATCTGGGCGTATATTAAACTATACAGTGATTCGTTTAATGAAAATACAAGTTCGCTTTTTCGTGAAGATCTTGACGTCAGGAAAATATTTATCATATTATCCAACATTCAAAAAGTATATGGTATTTTGATGAAGAAGAATACTTTACATTAAGTTATTTAATATTTAAAACATATTGTCATATATCATCGTTGGTAGACTTTGGTAACAGTTGTTGGTTTTAGTTGTCCTTGTATAATTCCTATACTGCAAGTGCCAGGCATTGAACTATATTTCCAATTTTAAACACAGACTCAGGTGCTAGATCAATAACCCAACGTTACCTTTGACCTGACCTTTTTTCAGTTCTTTTTTTTTGCTTAATATTTTAACAAAAATAACATGTTGAAAAGTGTCCATATTACACGGTTTCATAAAAAAATCTATTAGTTTTTCTTCAACTACACCAGCAAATTTAAGCTTAAATAGTTATTATGGAACAAACAATATAGCATATAATCCATAAATATAAAATTTCCAATTTAAAAAACTTTTAAAATTTATAACATATAAATGATATGCCATAAAGTGTACGTATTTATGTGTGTACAGCGTCGAACACAGAGAAAAAATAATATATATAGGGAAAGTACACGGTACTTTTATGGTTCCACACAAGAGTTCGGTCAGCTACGTGAGTGCAACAAAATCGTAAAATAAATTTTTCAAGGAAATTTCTTTGTCCTTTTGTTTCTTGAGGTTTTGCAATTTTTTACTAAATTTTACCACATCGCAATTTTGAACTCAAGCTACAAAACGCAACAAAAACGGTTGTAAATGCAATGTGTGTCACATTCGACAGTTGACTAGGATGCATAAGGATCCTTTGCGCCCAGAGTTGAAATTTATATAGAGTCTTTAGAATAAGACACTATCAGGTATGTGGAAAATGGTTTTGTCTATTGTAAAAAGGATTTTGTTTGCTTTCTTATTTTTTAAGTTTAGTGATGACGATGCTGTGAATAAGAGATAAATTTATTTACAAAAACTTTAAGATGCACACTTAAGTTATCAGAAATTGAAATATTAACTTTTTTTACAAATTTTTTAAAATACTTTTATTATAAAAAAAATTTTAATATCTCTTCCATATAAATTGTCGATATAAAAGTTAAAATAAAAATGTTTATAGTCCGAAATAGTAAGAATTCTTGTATGAAATAATTTTCTGTTAAATGAAAACTAAATTTTTTTCAAAAACAACCGACATTAAAAAAAATAAATAATCTAAGAATCTGAAATTTAATTTAATTTTTAGTCGAGTTTGACTTATACTCGCAATACTTACACTTTCCATCACAATAGGCAAGAACCACAGTACCGGAGTTCATAGTGCAGCACAGCAAAATGCTTCCTTTGTTTTACTGTACGTACTCTAGATGTGCTTTTTTCCTAGTCGGTCGAATGCTTCAGTTTTTTGTATTATTTTAATCCTTTCTGGAGCCTCAACTTGAGTCAACATATGCTTGCACATACATAAGCATTAGGAAATGCGCCGGAAGAGTCTAAAACGGAAATGATGCAAGCAAGGAATTTGCTTTGTACCACTTGATGCTTTTTGGTCTTTCCAAAAAAAAATTGTAAATACTGGAAAAAATGATTAAAGAAACAATAACTTTTGTATCTCCATTGTTTTCCTTCGTTGCATTTCTACTTGTCCGAATTTCTGTTTTTTGGTTTATACTGAAAAAATGCTAAGATACGGATGGATATGTGAAAAAAGCTTCACAATTTTTTATGGAATTTTAATTGTTGAATGAATAAAGGCTAGATTTCGACAAATATTTAACAATACTTTGTTTTCTGAAACCAAAAGTTTTGATTAAATCTTTTCCATTACTCATAAATACCCGTTTATCCATCTTTATAACTATCTTACTACATCCGTCTACTTTCATATACATATATATATAATTGATGCTTTGTTTATATGCAGTTTATGTTCTACAGCAATTAAATTTTTATAGAATATTATTGGACAAGAGGGAAAGATATGCTTGGGTTAGATAAATCTTTATGAAAAAACAAATATATTTTTTCAAAAAAATGTTTTAATAATTAAAAGATTTAAAATTTAATTTATACCAAATTTATACATTAAAAAATCAAACACCAAAAGCATATTAGTATTCAATTAAGATAGATTACAACAATGATCCCAGAAATTGACTAAGATCAATTGGCGTGTTGTGTTACCATTTAGAAAGTGGAAAAGTCTAAAGGATCAATAGGATTCCATAATTTTATTTTACAATTTCCATACAGGTGCTTTGTTTACATTTCTATAAAGTTTTCTATTCTGGATCAAATTGTTTAGTAAATAAAGATATCGACAACTACTTGCTTAATGCCGGTATGCTAAGATATCACAAATATTTCATATATGTTTCTGAAATACTTTGTTTGTGTGGGTCAAGTATTTTGAAACTACTTGCAATATTGCTGTAAGCGATCGCAGAAAGGAGTGAAGTCTTATACTGCATCTATATTTAATATGAGAACTACGGTAGAATCTTGAATCACCGTGATCTTATGTCGGACTAAAGTCAAAGCCATGAGATCAGTTTGATTTTGCGTTAGTATTCATTCACGGTGATAACTATCACCTTACCATACAAGAAAAGCTTTATTTTTTTAACAGTAACATTATCAGTCTGAAAGACCTTGTAATAATCAGTGATGCATTTATACCACAGATAAAACTACTGGCTGGCCTGTTACGGTGTTTAGAGCCCGGCAGTATAAGTGGTTATACCTGAGGCACGTTCAGCCAATCAGACATTTCTAGCAAGAATATCGGCCATAAATTTTCTGTTATTATTAGAATAACACCGATGTGATCAATATTCCTTGAAAAAGGATTGAGAGGCATTAGGTCCAAAACTCAAAATTTCTCTTCTGTAACTCGGAATTACTTGTGAGAATTTCGATGGTAGAAACTCATCACTGTTCGCAAATATTGTTTTCTTTTCAAATGAAGTGTTAGAAAAATATGAATCCAAACTCGTCTTAACCATTATATATTGCGGAATTTCTTAATGTTTTATATACATATATATTGACTATGAGGCTCTTCTGCTTAAATGATTGCCACATGGGCTTTAAGTATCCATGACATACGTCCAATTTTTAAATTTAGAAACTTATTTATGTGAATACCATATATCTATAAATATTGAATCAGACTTCAATAATTAATTTATGGTTACAGAGATGCTATTGGTACAGAGTAAGATACTTTCACCGATCATGTCAGATTTTAGTATCTCAGTATTGTAATATGAATAGTAAAGCATTCCATTCATTTCACATTGCGCAACTTATTGTTTTATATAGACGATATTTCTGAGGGTTTTCTGCATTAATGATCATATGAGTTCCAAGTGCTGTTGAGTTTATATCCAATCGTATCGTGTTATTATAATATAAATAATCTTAATGAGTAATATGTGATCGATTTAAAAAAGTAATTTCATAGTACGTATACATATACTGTTAATATAAATAAAATTCGTAGTTGCATTTAGAAAATTTTTATTATGCAAATATACATCCAAACATTTCTTTTTAAATGTTCATCCAAAATAATACACCTTTTGGTAAATCACAGAATTTTTTGATTTTGTAATACATATATGTCTAAACTGATATTACAAATATATATCTCACTTGCTAATCATATTTAACAATAACAAATCAATACGTTAAAAAATATGTTAGTCCAAATACTAAATCATGAAACTATTCACTATTCAGTGGTTTCATCACACAAAAAATTTTTCGTTTACATATAAAAAATTTTCATATGTAAACAGCGGCAACAGCGGTTAAAGTGGTACCAGCAACAACAAAAACACTTAGGATCCCATGCGCTGGTAGTCCCAAGGGGTATTATCAAGTGGACATACGTTACGAGTTTTCAGCCAGCGAGAGATGCAATGGAAGTGGAACGCGTGATTGCATATACCCCATGCAGTGGTGCATTCTCCTCCTGGTCCTTGGCCCTGGGACGCTTGGCACTCGATACACTGTTCCATTATATTATTACGACAGATTGCGCAGTTGTCCACCGCAATGTCTGTAATCATAATCATTTAAAAATGAGATCAGATTTATGGATAATTTTATGTTATTTACCCCAGGTCCAAGTAGCAACCGCATTCCACTAATAAATTATATAAATAAAAACCATTTCTTTATTTCTGATTTGATTGAAGAAAATAATCTCTCACCTTCTTTATCTCGAAACGTTTAGCCGGGCGCGCAGCCTTGGATGTGGTTGGAGCTTCCTCCTCGGCCATGTTGATAACGCTAAACACCACTCACTGTACGATTTGTATTCCAGCAAATTTTTAATGTCTAAAGTTTTGTATCGTAAAGAAGTTTCGAAACGTAAGAGAAAAATGTTTGTTTCAATTAGAATTTTTATTTGAGTAGTAAATTTTTTTTAAAATCTGACATACTACTTCGTTGCTTTTCGGTTTGAAAAACTTGGTACTGGTTAAATTATATCAATATATATGGAGCTTTGCACTGCAAACCTGAAAATATGTTTTCCATATTTATTTTTATTTGAACGGCAATGTTAGGAACATGTTGATAGAAACAAGAGAAATGGAACGGCGAAACGTATGGAATGTATGGAAAATTGAACATGTAAATACATAGGCACTGGCAGCACTGGTTTCTTATTGCGCGATAGCTATCTGCTATCTGTTCAGATGTTTTTTATATAGACTTCAAACAATGCACTACTTATTTATTATAAAGAAAATGGTGTGAAAATTAAACAAACGAAACTACATTCCATCTTAGACATCACGAAGATATTGAGTATGTCTCTACTTTCAAAAATCTTGAAGCATTTGAGTCACAAAAAACTATAAAAATTAAATGCCTTCACTTTAAATTGTTACTTACATGACCTTAAGAATATTTTCGGTAATTGTCTTCTTCTTGCACTGAAAGTGAATATTCATGGAATATATAAGACTGACTTCAATTTTTGTTAAAAAGTGGACATTCGAAAATTGAACAGATTTTGTGCAAATAAAAAAAATTTTTAAAAATTATATTTTGACATTAAATAAGTATTAATAGATAAAAAAAGTTCAGTAGTTGATATAGAGATCAAAAAGTTTTTTGATATCTATATACTTCAAAAAATATGATATCTGATTCGAAAAGCAATCCAACGACTTGCGGCAGCTGTTGCTAGAAAGCTTAATATCCACTCTGTACGTGATGTTTTTAAGAGTACTATGTGCTGCCGCCACATACCAATTCACTGATTGTGGTTTCTCACGACCTTTGCATCATTTAGCAGATATTCACATTACGACAAATCCCTGAAAAAACTCACGCATGTAGCATTGATAACTTACATTATTTTGTGGACTACAAAGCAGCATTCGGTGGTTCCAATAGGGTTCACGAGATTGGTATCCTTACAAAAGCAAATATCCATCTACATGAGTTTGTATAATACTTAAAGCGTTGTCAAGGCATGATCAAAACTTTATATACGTTTTGATGCCGTGTGGGATTTTGGTTAACATATCTTATTATTCTGCGATTAGTACAATTTCGTTTAGAAGTGATCAAAAGCATGGCAGGTGGTCATTGATATCAGACAATGTTTCAATTATACGTTTAATTTCTCTTTAATGGTTACGACACAACTCTAATGTTACCACTGTTTTTATTGTTACCAGGAAGGAATTTGCGTAAATGGGCTTGGTGATGAATAGGGTCAAAAGAAAATAAATGTAGTAAATTAGCAAAAATATTCATCGCTTGATGGCGATATTAATAACAACAATAACTAACAATATATGTCAGTATATAGATCAGATAAAGAAACGCCATAGATCAAAAGGTTTAGCTAAGGACTTAAAAAGCTATTGGTATAAGGAGCTTTCTTCGATCCGTAAAACTTGTGGTCTGTACAGTAAGGATTGGTTATAACCGCAGGATAATGTTTGGCTAGAAGGAAAGCTATAACGATTGTGAAAGTGCATGCTAAATACACGTAGAGACGAACTGTAGGGATTAAAATGAAAAGCTGCGGAGTAACATAATAAACATAATAATTAGAGAAAAGAGCTTATTATTTTCCAGATGTGAATATAAATATAAATGATAAGTCATTTAATTGAGTTATGTCAAAATGGTGATTTTCTGTTTTGTCATTCTCACTCGTATATTTCAAAAAAGCTTGTTTAAACTAAATCCTATGTTTTTAAATAATTTCATTTTTGTATTCCAACAAAGGATTCATTATATCCTTTGTTTGGAATAAAATTGAAACCACATAAAAAATTTCAAAAATGTGGAACAAAATCAATTCCCAACAAAACTAATTTAATTCGATTTCTATGTAATAAATCATTTTTCAGATTTTGAAATCAAATATTTGAAGCGAGGAAAGCAATAAAATCAGTGAAAATAAATCGATTTCAACTTTTGTCATAAAAATTCGTGGTTAGCTTTAACCCAAAAAAACGAATATCCTCAAATGCAAAGTTCATAAAATGTAAATCCATCCAGTATACCAAAACCAAAACCAAAAAAAAACTCAATAAAATCTTCAAATCTCAGTTGAATTCTAATTCAGGAAACGTAACCGTCACACCGTGCGCAATGTCGCTGCCCAATGAATTTGTGAGATATTTTTACGCGATTTTCATTGTTCGGAGTTAACGTTTTTGGCTTAAACGAAAAGCCAGAAATTTACCGAGGCTCAAACCAAAAATTGTCAATACAAATGCAGTGCACGTGCCTGTTTTTCGATTTTGTCACATCGTGTACGCTCTGATATTATGACTCCCTAAGGTGTGGTTACAATGTTACGGTATATGGGTTTTTGGCGTGTGCACAAGGATACGCGTCCTGCACTGATTTCCTATAAATATTTTGTAATTGTTTGATGTATTTTCTATTTTTGCTGGAAATTTAAGGCCGAACATCATCTCTTCCACAAAAATGTTTTACATGTTAAGCCGATTTTGAACCCATAATGAGAATACGAAAAAAGAAAAAAATGGTTGCTATATAGAGAAGGTAACTTTAGTTGAAGATTTTGAGGCAATCGAAGAAATCTTTCCTGAATAAGTGATATAAAGTTTTTCAACGCGTGTGTTAATGTAAATATAAACACTAATACTCACATTTAACTATTGTCCATTGTACTGTTTTCAGGGTTGTTAGTATTAAGTAAAGTCAACAATCAAATATTTAGTTTGCTAGATGGAATTAAAGAAATCTAAATCTACCTGACTTACGAAGAAACAGCCTCCTAGACAGTGGACTGGAGTCTCCGCTTTGACAGAAGTCTTGATCAAAGATATAAAATCAATTTTGTTTCACCGCTTTCTCTTCATCATGACAACATTGGCTTAGTCTACTTGTTGGAATGCAACATCATTACAACAAGCACAGTGGACTATTATATTCTACTAAGCTTGCTCCAGAAATCAAGATCTACTCTCTTGCATAAAGAATAGGTATTTCAATCTCGAAGCTTTGGGAAAGATGTAACTTTATTCTAGATCAACCCTTACTTGACCATCTATATTACTGATTCCATCTTAAATTGTATTGTGCCCGTAATTAGCTGATTTCCACGCTAGAGGCTTACTTAGTCTGGAAGTATGTTTTTTTATTAATGAAAAACTGTGGCAATAAAATATTACATATCATAAGTATCCAGGATCCATTCTCTGAACTTTCTCAATGTGTGGCTGAATGCTTTTTTTAACTAATGATTATTACTAGACGAGAGATGCATTGATGAGCCTGATGATTGTTGTACATGTACGTATGATATGTACTACATAAGATGATCATTCCCCTAGTTTAACAATGATATTTTTGCAAATGTAGAAAACAATCAATCTCCAACGTCCCTTCACAAGCATAGTTTGCGGTCAAGGACCATAACTAGACATCTAGATTGTGAGCAAAGACTCAGTCTTATTCCAATTAACCTGTGCAAAGTAAATTTAGGTATTCACTAGAGTAGGCAATAAACTTCGTTCTTTTTTTTGTCCTAAAGATCTAAAGAAAAGGGAAATGCTTATTTTTGTGGTGTGCATCGTAAGACTCTTGCTTATAGAGCCGGTTTTCATAGTAGCTTTGAGAACCTTGCTTAACAGCATTGAACTAATCTATGCCATTATGAGATGTTACGTGTTTACAGTATTTCAATTTCTCTCTATGCTTTTAGTTCCATTGACCATTTAATTGTCAGAACCATTGATTTATCTTTACAGTAAGTGTGTTGTACAACATCTGATGAGTAAATGCTGTCTTTTTTTAATATTAATTATTATTAAGTCTAAATTTTATGGTATTTATATAGTTTAAGTTGAAGCAAAAAATTATTATTTAAATTAATTGAAGACATTTTTTGTTATCTGTTAAGATGTTTTAATTTGTATAAAAAAATTGACTTTAGAGAGGAAAAGTATAGAATTACAAAATTTTTTTTTTTCATAATTTTCGTTAATCTAAATAATAAGGGACATAAGATCTTTTAAACACTTAAGTAAAGTTTTTTAATACTTGGTATGCAGGAATCTGTTAAAACTGATTGTACTCACCTTATTGCTCTTTATGAGAGTTAAAATAAAAAAATAATTAAAATCCAACAATTGCAGAAAGAACATAGTAAATAATAGAGAAAGCAATGGAAAATCCTTATTAAAAGTTATAAAGAAAAAATATGTTTAAAAGTCACTAGAAAATAAATTATTTTGAAAATTGCATTGTCACTTCTGCTCTGTACGATGACGGCAGGAATGGGAAACTCAACTTTAAATAAGTTTTTCAAAACAGCAATAGAACGTTGGATCTCCAACCGAGTGAAATTGCTCTGCATCTGTTTGTAGCACAGATGACATTTTAATTTTTTATGTATATATATATTTCATTTATTTAGATCAACTAAAAAAAGGACGAGCAAACACGCAATAATGAAATTTTAAAAATGTATTTCATGCACTTCAAAGGAAGACTATAAAAAAGGTCGTTTGTTAATAAATTGGCTTTATTAAAATACAGATAACTTATTTTGCTTATATACGGAAATATTGCATTTAAAAATGGATTGTGCAATGCAATGTAAAGTGTACTTCAGATCATATTTGACAAAAGCAGTTTTGCAAAGATAAAATTAAAATCTTAAAATTAAACTTACACAAGAGATGCTCACCTCAGCAGATAACAGACGTCTTTGCAAATTCTTCCGCACACAAATACCCATAACAAGTAATCAGGCAGGGGAAGGAACATGTGTATCGATTACACAGCACACATAAGACAAGAGTATGTTAAATGTGATTGAATTCGCAACTGAAGACTCTTTAAGATACAATAAGTACAACACTTGCATACTGCAAGGATATTGTGCTGCTTCTACATAAATTGTGGGCTGATAGCAGCTTTGTTTAATGCCAGCCACTCTCCATAAAGCTGGGCAAAACCAGGTAGATCACAGCAGTGCGAGTACGGAAGAGCATCCTTTTCGGTGCTTGTGGTTACAAGATTTACAATGTCTGTGGTTAAATAAACAGTGCAAATACTTTTGGTACAGATACACCTTGATTTTTTGGTAAAATAATGTTTAAGAGATAACCTGGATTTGTATAAATTTGCAATGTTAAGCAAAAATTTGCTTAGGGTTTTACTGTGTCAGAAATAAATTAAATGAAATAAAACCAAAAGTATTTGCTGAAATATCTTCTTAAATTCAGTAAAAGCGAAAATTTGCTGTGGACTTAAAATTTTGCATGTATTTAAATCTGTTTAAATATTTTGTAAAATATATGAAACTTTAATGATAATCCAGAATTTATTGGTGGACACATATTTTCACATCTATTTTTTTTAAGTAAATGCAGCGTTCGCATTAATTATTCAAATTAGGCTGATGTATAAATTTTACATTCTGCATAAAAAAAAAATAAAATAAATGCATGTATTATATTGATACTGTGGTAAAAATAGAAAAAATATTCTAATTATCACTTTAATTAAATCCAAAGGGAAGCGGCACG